GATGCTGATAATCAAACTGTTTGTTCTCCTTTTTTCCCCAAATTGGAATCGAAAAAAGAATCGATAAAGAATCGAATCTTTTCAATTCCCAACCCTACCGACGACACGTCTATGGTTCCGTTGAGGTCATCATAGACCCCCTGCGAAGAGAAAATGGAGATTATGTGACAGAATAAAACATTAAATAAATAAGTAAATGAATAAATTAATCATAAATAAAACAATAAAAAATCATAAAATAAAGTATAACATTGCACAATTAATGAGGAAAACCCATGTACAGACCAGGTTTTTATTTTGTTGTTTTTGTTGGATTAAAAAAACAACAATTTTTGGGATGCTTACCTACTGTAGGTGCGGGGCTGCTCTTGGATTGTGAGCCGTGACCCCCTGAGAATGTGGGATAGTTAAAAACTCCATTGGAAATGGTAATGCATTGTATTATAGGCACTGTAGTATGGTGGTCCCCAAAAGGTCCCCCTCTTCACAATCAGTCAGAAAACAGAATTAGAAAAAAACAAAAGATGGCACCCCAAAAATGGTGCTCTTGGCATATGGCATGTTTTCGAGTTTCACATTTACGGTACTCTGAGCGATATCGGTGTTGTTATTTGTGAAATGTGTTGCAGAACCACATCTGTGAAATCTGTCAAATAAGTTTGCATTACTTACAGTGGTGATAATTCTTCCTTTAGCCATTACCACGTTATCCTCTGAACTTTTAAACTAATATTGTATGTATTCTACTGGAAAAGTGACCATTCCATGCATCCATTTTCCGTCACGCTTATCCCAGCTGGGGTCGCGAGGGGAGCTGGTGCCTTATTCAGCTGTCTACAGGTGAACATGCTGGAAATGTGATATGTTAAATATATATTACATAAATATGTGACTCTGTGTTACAAAACACAGTAGGGGCTCAGTATGTTTCACTTAATTCATAAACAATAAGGTTTTTTTCCCAAACTATTGGAGCTGTTTGTAAGTACTTATTTTCCCAGAAGGCAATGAAATTAAGGGGTATACTTTGGGTTTCCACCTGGGAAATCAGAAAAAGAAATTAGGTTAAAAAAGACCTCACCATTGATGATGAGAGTCAAGTAAATCTACAGAAAAGCACTCTTAATTTATTTGTTCACTAATACATTACTGTACAACAGTACACACTAACTGTAATAGATGAAAAATGCTACTTCAAGTGAAACCAGGAAATATCTCACCTTGGTTACAAAGAAAGCCCCAGTTACACTTGTGAACAGCCAATGAACATATAGACATGGAATAATAAAACAAATGCAGGCACTGTATGTTGTTCAGTCATACAGAGATCAACGGACACATCCCTCCACATTTACTGCTTAGCATAGATTTTAAAACACA